TAAAAAAACACCCCTCGAAGTTTTCTTAATTATTCGAAATTTAGTGTTTTTTATCTGAAATACGTTTATCTAAAATTTTATAATGATACCTTCAACTGTCAAAAAACTATTAAAGAATATCTTTAATTTTTCAAAAACACACCCTATTTCTTGCGTAAGAGGCATTTCCGAACTATAGTATGCTATATCAAAATTAATGTTTCGACGTCCCCCATCATTGCCCGAAAGCATGACTCACTTACAGGAATCACCCTGTATATTACCCTGTGTATTATGGTTTTAATATTTAAAGGTATTCATCATCACACAGCCACTTGCGTCCACTGCTGGACATAGACCTTCATAGTTTCTGTGATTCTTTTGTCATTTTTGTAGCATCTCTCGCAGCATTATACAGGTTGTACCAGAAATAAGTGCAAATATTTTAAGGCGTGGTAGATCTCGATAAAAGAAACATATTTTCTCTTTATCGTTTTTCAAATAAGTCCAAAATAACGGAGTTATTTTACTTTGAAAATTTGCAAGAGAGAAAAAAATTTTTCCTAAAATTTTGAGAACCACTGGATCTTTTCTGGATTTCTTTCTTGTAAATTTAATCTACTACCTATGTTGCCATATTATCAAGAAATTATGTTTTTAACCAAAAACTAAAAAAATTCCAAAAATTTTTCAAAAAATTTTGAATTTTAAAAAGTTTTTTTTCGCGAAAAAACCTCATAGACGCGTTTCTGGGGTTGAACTATGCTACCAGTTAAAATACCTGCACTTATTTCTGGGACACCTTGTATAATATATCTTCGCCAAAATCGTATCATAATTAGTATTATTATTAGTATCTAGCCGCTACCACGAAGGTAGTATTAAACTATTATATATATACATCTGATTCTCAAAATCTTGTCTAGGTTTTTAATTAAATATTTTTTTAACAGAATTAGGAATAAAGGGAAAAAATAATAAAAACCATAGTTATTTCTATAGAATCTTATTTAAATAAAAAATCTTAAATAAAATTTTGACATACCACAGACACATAACATTTTCTAAGAGCAATTCGTTTAAAAATGAAATTTTGAACCTATATTTATATGAACACAAAAATAAATAAAATAACTTAATGGTAACGAATACAGAGGTGATCCGAGCCAGAATCTTTGACACTTTAGGTATCTCTTTCAGTTGTTCCACATATATCGTTCTCAATATCCTTTCATCAAATTCTTGTCGATTAAAAAAAGTTGGATATGTATATGGCTGTTCAAATTTTACTCCAAATCATTTTCGTGAATGTTGTTGAACAGAAATCGGTTTTCTGTTATTGTTTTCTGTTAAAATCTCGTACAAAAAATTCTGGCTCTCATGGTATATGTATGGTGACGGGTTGATGGTACACAACAGTGCTAATAATCCTCATAAGATCGATTATATATAATGAATTAAACTCAATTTAAGTGGTGCAAACACGTACTTTAATTAGTAACACGCATTCAGTTTTTTTATTACATGTATATAAGATAATATTGGCACGACTCGCATTCAACATCTTCTCAATTATCTCACACTCACACTTTTGCCTCTATATACATACCTACAAAAATTAAAACTGAGAGAGTTATGCAGTGATTTTCTGACAATTAGTTTTCTTACGATTGGTTGAGTCGCTTCATATTTTCTATATTAAAAATTTACAATACCATAAGACGATAATAAAATTATTAGCTTCTTTAGTTTAGTAAAAAAAATAACTGAGTATTTTAAATGGGAAGGTAATAGTGAAAATAATAGTCAATAAATCTCTGCACGCGATTTCTTAAGTATACAATGACTTTGGGGGAAAACGTACATATATTTTTCTAAAATATTCTTTCTAAGAAAATTGTTATAAATCTAACGTCAAGTTTATAAAACTTGTAAAATTGACGTCAGTCTTTTTCTTCACAAATGAAAATGGATGAGAGCTTAGGATGCAGTCTCGAGATTCAACGAAAAAATATTACATGGCTTTATATTTATGCTTATAATTATGTAATAAATGTTCTTAAATATTACAATATTACGCACTAAATTTTACTATAGATTTCAATCTATTATATTGCGTGCCAAAATCCATATTTCATAAATATAATTATTACTCTACAGGGTGTTTCAAAAACATGGGCCATCTCTCGTAAAATTAAGATTTATTTTTCACATCAACATAGATCTGATTCTGCTTTCGTTTCGTAGCTACAGGGTATTAAAGTCTTAATATTTTTTCGATTTATTATGTTCTTTTTCCAAGCACTTTTAAGCAGTTTCTAATGAAGTTTTGAGGGTAAAAGTTACCATAAATGCGACATATTTTAAATTTAAAAATGTGTCGACATGTTCACCAGCGACGTGCATATGGGTTAACACTGGAATATTTTCTAAAAAACATGTACGCCACTGATTTTTTTCTCTTTGTTAGTGAAATAGTATAAGCAGTTTAATGTCGATTAAAAATATATTTTGTCGATTTCGGCCTCCTTGATGAGATAAACCTAATTTATTAATTTGCCTTGATCCAAGTCTAATATCAACCTTTAAAAAAAATAATATCATTAACTTGCGAAAGTTTGAAATAAGAACTCATTGGTTCCTCATCAAAAAATATGAAAAAAAGTTTCTATAAACATAGGTATGGAAATGCATAGTTTTAGAGTTACTGGATGTTGAAACTTTTTAAAATTAGTATTTTTGTAATTATCTTAAAAACCATTATTTTTTTTATTTGAAATTGCTGTAGACTGGATTAATTGTAATAATAACTAATAGTAATAATATTTAATAATTAATTAGGTAAAATATGTAATCTATTACTTTTATTTTTGTTTCAATTTTATTAATTATTGTGATTAATCTCAACAAGGAGGCCGAATCCGACAAAATATCAAGAGATAACTTTTAATTGACTTTAAACGGGCTAAACAATTTTGATCAAAAGAAAAAGTCAGTGGCGCACGTTTTTTTTTGAAAAATATTTCAGTGATATGGGTTGCACGTTCCTGATGAATTTATCGACACTTTTTTAGCATTAAAATATATATAGCACTTATAGTAACTTTTATCCTCAAAATTTCATTCGAATCACTAAAAGTACTTGGAAGAAAATGATAATAAATCGAAAGATTATAAGACTTTAACACCCTGCAGCTACGAAACAAAGCAGAATCGGACCTATGTTGATATGAAAAAAAAATCTTATTTTTACGTGAGGAAGCTCCCCACTTTGGCACATGTTTTTTGAAACACCCTGTATAGAATTTTTAAAGGTTTCTTAAAATTTAAGAAAATTTTGTATTCTGAAAATAAAGTATTTGTATAGTACTTAGGTATAGACTTTTTTTTTAATATTATTTGTTTAAAAACAAAATTTCAAAATAGCACAGGCCTATTATAACTAACTCAAAACACGCTGTATTACAAAAAAGAGCCAACTAATAAGTATGACAGCAAATGTTATATTTTTCTTTGAGATCTCGAAACATTAAACATTAAGATTATATAAAAATTTAGTACAAAACTTTGTCCACCTCGTCGCAATACTAAACCTAAGATTTACTTAAATGCTTTGTCATATTTCTATATGTCATTGACGAGTTCTTTGCCAAAATATTTTGTAAGTACCTAGTGTCGAATAATTTTACATTATTAACTAATTATTCTAGTTTATTAAAACTATCGTAGGATATAAAAGAAAATACATGCACAACCAAAAAGTTATTTACTAATTTCCGTACTTATCATGATAGAATTAAGGACACTACGTCGACAAATATAGAGACACTTCTTTACATAAATGAGTATCTTGCAGTTCTTAACATAATCTATATTTACTTAACATATGGAAACGTACAGTGCTTTAAATATAAAAGATGTGATCTCCCTTTGTTCTCTCTTATTATTTAGATGCGCTATATACATGACATTTTCACTCCGAAATAGGTCTACGAAGCTGGCCGAAATATTCATACTTATAATTTCGAATTCGTTAGATAAATACAAAATACTGCGCGATGGAATAAAAATATCGTCATGGTATTGCAGATGTGCTAACTGCAGGATAGATGCATATTAGTCGTTTTAATTACTTCATATTTTATGTCTTCGTTAAGTCCGAACAAAAATGTTATTTTTACGCCTACTATGACGCCGTTTTTTTTATCACAAGGTAGTTTTTTTGTTTAGCTTCGCGTAAGATCGTATTCAACAAAACATCCATAGTGATTCGCTAACGCTAAATTACCTGTATTATATTAAATTTTTCCCTATAAATTAGTGACTTTGACCTACTTAAATAAATAATATCGTAGAAATACTGAGTTATAACGATACATTTGTCTTATATAACTTCTGTTGCTTTGAAAACGGAAAACATGTTAATACGGTTAACAATTGTTATATGTAATAAGGAAGAACCCACACGTATTTTTTTGTTGTTGTTGTCCCAGTTAAACTATCAGTTTAGAAGATGAAATCTCCGAAATTATCTGTTTATAATAGCAACGCACTCAGTATAATATAATAATTATATTATACAGTAAAATTATTATACTTCGTGATTATAATATATACAGGGTTAGTCTTAAATAAGTGCAAATATTTTCAGGGCTGGTAGATCTCGATAAAAGAAACATAATATATTTTCTCTTTGCGTTTTTTTTTTCTCAAATAAACCAAAATAACTGAGAGATATTTTACTTGAAAATTTCCAAAAAATCACTTGATCATTTCTGGGTTTTCTGTTTTCTGTCTTGTAAATTTAATCTGCTGTGTTGCCATATTATCAAGAAATTATGGTTTTTAACTAAAAACTAAAAAATTCCAAATTTGAATTTTTTTTTCGCGAAAAAACCCTCATAATCGTGTTTCTGACGTCGCAATATACTACGCCTTAAATATTTGCACTTATTTAAGACTTACCTGTGTAATTTAACTATACAGGGTGAAATAAGGGTAAATATTTTTAGCTTTTTCGCAAAAAAATTGATTTTTTTTTCGTTTTTAGTTAAAAATAGTTATTTATGATATAAGTGCTAAAAGTGGTATTTTATTTTGTGAGAAGGGAAGAAGGCGGAGTGTCCCATCCCTTCGAACAAAATAAAATCACTTTTAGGACACATATCATACACTATTTTTTCTACAAACAAGTTTATGCTCATATATATCAAGGTATTGTTACTTTTTAAATTAATGAATAATTCATAATATGTCATTCTGAAATCAAATTAATTATGAAGTTTATCGCTGCTAGGGTAACAATATTATCGCTTTAGTGTTAAAAGTAAATCACGCGACTTACTTTTAGCACCTTACTTTTAGCACCAGGTAAAGAGAAAATATGCCTCTTTTATCGAGATCTACCAGCCTTGAAGATATTTGCACTTATTTAAGACTCCTCCTGTATATTTATGTGATCATACAATATGTTAGTTTAATAGGGACAACATAAGCATTGTCTATGTTTAGGAAGAGTATTTTGAATGCTCGTATGGCAGTGGAATAAATACAATCTAAGATTAATAGTTACATTATAAAAAAACACCCCTCGAAGTTTGCTTAAGTATTCGAAATTTAGTGTTTTTTATCTGAAATACGTGGGGTTTTCCTCGATTAAAAAATCGTACCAACGTTGATAAAATTCTCTACATTATTGTTACAAATATTAAATAAAATTGGGTACCACACACGTATTGCTTGGAAAGTACCGAAGTTTTTTACCAGTAGGTAGTGATGTGTCGGTATTTGAGTAACGCGATTTTGGAGCGATATTTTTTGTAACGTCGTGTCGCGCTCCACAACGAATCAGGAACCAGTTGTTGAACGACGATCATAATGATGACAAAATTATAAATTATTTATAATGTGCAAATAAATTATTTATAATCGCTCTTGAAGTTAGCTTGAACCGTAGTAACCGCATAGCGAGGTGTTTAGCTCCAGCCGTCGCGATTTCGTCGGTTGCCAACAGTAGTACCTGGCACTGGTATGTACGTAGCGTCGCGCGTGTTCGCTCCAGCCGTCGCGCTCCTAGAGCCGTAGTTCCGTCTGTCACGAACAGAAGTAACTGGTCCCTGCTTATATAACTGGCTATCTACGGTCGACCTCGGCGGCGATGTACTTCGTTCCAGCAGTCGCTGGAGCGCTTCTAGGGTTCCCGTTTTGCCGGTCGCGATTTGGTCGGTTACTATTGGCGTTAGTGCTCCCGTCGCTACGTTACTTTCGAAATAGCGATTTTTGGTATGTACTAGGCATGGTATAAAATAGCGTTGTTTGAAAGATGAAACGCAAAAGGAAATAAAATAAAATAAAAATATTTTACTTTTCAACTTTGTTGTTTCAACTTTGTTCTTCATTTTAACATTAAATATATTATATTGCAATACATATAAATATGAGCCGTTGATGTTATTTAAACAAAAATTGATGGAAATAACAGGGAATGTCATCGTTTTTCTAAAAATGAGATAGATTGTTAGCTATACACAATTATAAACTCGATATCTGGAAAATGAGTGGCGGATAAAAGTTACATTAATCTACAAATATAGAACATATACATACACATTACATAGATAAGTTAGATATATTTTTAGCGAGGACCGCGACACTTTGGAAGTCTGAACCTCGGTTACAAAATCGCGGTATTTTGTCGCGGTATTTTTCTGGAACGGTCGCTATTGTAACGCGACTCATGTGGAACCGGTATTCCCATCACTACCAGTAGGTACTATTTGTACTAAATGATAAAAAGAACAGTACTTTCGTATAAAAACATACCCAATTAATTTACTCTGTGTGGAGTAGTGGGGGACAGTCTTATTATTACAAAAACACGCAACACATCGAAGCATTCACTTAAGTAGTAAGATGGAAAATATTTTTTTTATTCGAAAAGGAAGGAGCATTGTCTTTTTTGGTATGTTGATGATGATGCGTCATTAACATTAAAGATTCGTTAAAATTTCTCTGAGTTACTTCAATAAAAACTGAACTCGATGAGAAAAATAAGTGAGGCGGAGAATTTAAACGTTGATGCGTTTTCATCGAAATAGCTACAGCAAAAATGGATCGATTCGTCGATCAATTTTTATCAAAGTAATCGTTAAGCTTAAACCTAAGTCGAGTTTCTTTGGTTGTGGAAAAGGTTTCTGTTTGTTTAATTTAAGGTTTACTCTTCGAGTTCAGTCTCTTCCCCTGGCGCTGCGTACATGTCGGCCAGTTTGTCGAAACGGGGGCCCCACGCGTCCAAGTAGCCGTAGTCTTGCTGTTCGTCGTCCGTACCTGGAAAGTATTTGGAAATTTTGTTATATGGCGCTATCGGAAATGAATAACATTTTAGAAGCACATAGTTCGAAGAAAGAAAAACATAAATGAAATCTGGGTTTGCAAATTTTAGAACTGTGTCAAATTGAAAATTATACCTAGAATAGCTGGATGAACTTTTTATTTTTTGCAGACAGCGATTTGGTATGGGCATGACATAAATTGGGATTGATTGACGTAATCAAAAGTTGTATATTAAATAAAAAATATTGTTATTTTATTTTAAATGTCACCCCCGGTACATTTTTACTTTATTCGATAGAAAATGATATTCTGAATAGAATGACGTATCATATGTCAACTTTTGACATTCTCATACTTAATAAAAATCGTATTATAAATCTCAATCTAGAGTGCCATGGCTATGTTAACAACACTAATTTTAATCAAGGAGCATTGAAAAAATATATATTTGATCATCTAATGTTTTTAGTGTCTTATTGTCCTGGCCGGTTAAAAAAAACTCAAAAAAAAAAAAATTCAATTTTTTCAAAATGGAACGCGAGGTCATTAGCATATTTGAAAAAGCATTTTTTACGAATAATTTTGATACCACACACTTGGTATTTCAAGTCAAAAATTTTCGTTACGAACCGCAAGTTATAATTTCAAATAAACCATATGCGAAAGTGTCAAAAGCTGACATATGATATGTCATTCTATTCAGAGTGTTATTTTCATCGAATAAATTAAAAAAAATACCGAGGGTGCCATTTAAAAATCAAAAGTTGTAGTCATTTCCGGTTAAACAGGAAGTGGCCGAAAATAATTGAATACATTAATTAATCGCAATTTATGTCCGTATACTAACATACCAAATCTCGTTTTATCTGGAAAAATAAAAGTAATAGGGGTGAGCTACTTTGAGACGCACCCGGTGGGGATGAATACCGGATACTCGGATAATCGGGATGAATGATCAGTTCGGGGAACGATTCTTTTATGAAAAGTTGGTCGGAAGTCAATTTTTTTCATCCTGTTTCAACCCCCAAGATGATTAACAAATGTGACAAATACAAGCGAGCCTTAAAAAGTATTAAGACTTGTCATGTCTGTATTCACAAGATGTCTTAACTTAACTTTTTTTGACAAAATTTCATTCATAGAGTAAAGCTATTTATGAATGACGGAAGATAAAGTAGATATTTAGTTTATTTTCCTTTTACTTTAACAGACCAATTGAAAATGTTAAAATCATTCATGTTCTATATAATTTTCAGACTTTTAATGTTCTAACCTTCCTTCAAAAGATGCGCTTCCAGTTATAAAAACATCTTTCCCTCATTAGGCACTATTTATTTTCATTTATGTACAAACATGCATATAGACACTGTCTGCAGTGTATAACAGTTTATTTTCTTCTAACAGTACACAAACATTTGTTTTATATTTCACAAAGCATAACAGAATGTCTGTTAACTAAATTATATTTAATTCTCACAGCCTTTGCAGTAAAGAGTTAGTATAAGTTTGAATCTCCAGCTAAAAGTGAATGTATTAATAGTTTTAGAAACTTTTTGAAAACCGAACAAAACAACATTTGTTGATATCTGCGACACATAATCCTTAATTTTATTTTTTGGGACATCTCTACAACCAAGAAAGAGTTCGTCAAAATTTAACTGTTACAACATTTGACAGTTGGAAAATTGGTAGGTAGTGTCACGGTTTAGACTACGGAAGAGACGATCACAACGATTTTTAGATACTTATATTCCAACTTTTTTTCTAAATGTATATGTATCAGTAAATTTTGGACAAACATTAATTCTCTTATATTGTTTATTATAGTACTATAAAAAATATAATAAAAGTTTATTATTACTGAAATTATGTACATTTTTTTTTTTAATTTTATACATTAAAAAAAGCCTTGGCTATAGAGATAATTTGTAGTTGATAGTAAAGAAGTGCCAGAAGTAACAGAGTGCGAGTGATTATGCAGAGAAACAATAACAAAAACATTTCTCCAAAGAAAAACATAAAAGGTAAACGGGAACGGTCTTTTCCAAAAAAAAGCACAAAGCATGTTTTATCTAAAACGTACTTGATATTTTATGCCGAATAGCTTCCGTCTGTCGATTACAACGAAATAAACAAAATTAAATAATTTACAATATTTTTTTTTTTTTTTTTTTTTATATAAATATACATAACATATGTCAGAATTTCTGAAAAGTTGATTAACGTCGTACAGTAAGCTTACAGGTAAAGTCTGCTCTAGATTATATATAGGATCTTTTTTATCAAGGGAATGAGATGAAATTTGATGCCAGCCTTAGATTGTGCTTTGAAACTATATTTTGTAAATTACATAAAAATAAGAATGATATACTCTGAAAATATCAATCACTGCGATAAGGTCTCTAAAAATATGTTTTACTTCAAATTGTATATGGTAAAACGTATGGTAAAACACATCTTTACATACTGGATTTCTTCCGGAAAATTAGATTAAGTCCGGTATTTTTTTACTAATATACCGGGTAATGCCTTCAGTCGGCTCACCCCTATAACTTTTATTTTTTCAGACAAAAAACGAGATTTGGTATGTTAGTATACGATATAAATTAGGGTAGGCAACCTCGGTATATTTCTACTTTATTGATAGAAAATGAATCTGAATAGAATAACATATCATTTGTCAATTTTGACATTTTCGCATATGTTTTGTTTGAAAATGTAAAATGCGGTTCATAACGACAATTTGACTGAAACACCAAGTGTGTGGTACCAAATTATTCGTAAAAAAAGTGCTTTTTTCAAATATGCTATGAGCCACCCCTTGTTCCATTTGAAAAATTAAGATAGCGATTAAAAAAATGATTTGGGCATCTTCTAACCGGCCAGGACAAAACACGAAAAAATTAGATCCAATCTATTTTTCCATTGATCCTTCATTAAAAATTAGTCTTTTTTAACATAGCCATGGCTCTCTAGATTGAAATTTAAAATACGATTTTTCAAAGTGAAAATGTCAAGTTTCAGTGAATGTTATTTTCATCGAATAAAGTAGAAATATATACTGAGGGTGCCATTTAAAATTAAAAGTTGTAGTCATTTCCGGTGAAACAGGAAGTGACCAAAAACAATTGAGTATGTCAATCAATCGTAATTTATGTCAAATACGAACATACTGAATGTATTCTTTTATCTGAAAGATTAAGAGTTATAGGGGTGAGAGTTATAAACGTAACAAAAATGTTTTAACAAAAATAATATTTTCATAATTTATAAAAAAAAAAAAAAAAAAATATTATAGTATAATATAATAATTCAATAACCTTTCATTTCAATTATTCCTTAAATTTAAGAAAATCTAGAAAATTTGGTAGAAAATATAATCATTTAGTAACACCTTTAACATGTGTTTATTTGACACATACAGAAAGGCTATTTTTCATCCAATTCAAGACACGAACTAAGGCCGAAGTCAAATTTCACCTAATTCATCACAAAAAATCCAACAGGATACAGATTTTATCTGCAGCCCTGTATATTTTACAAAATCTAACAACTTACCAGCGAGAGAACTGAGCGAGCCAGCGGTACTGCCGCCGCCCTCGTAGGCGTAGTTCCTCAAGTCGTCGAAAGGTGGCGCGTTTAGATCGAGGTCCGCCCGTTTCTTGTGCTCCTCTATGAAACTGCCGACGTTGGGTTCTTGACCGGGCATCATAATGTTAACTGTAGACAAATAATGTTTATTGCCATTAGGTATTTTAAAACATATACTTATACTCTGCAATTAAAATGAAGTATAGGACAAACGATGTACACATATAGTAAGTATAGCAAAAAATGCAAAACATGTATGGTTGCGGTGGTAAGCTCAGGTCTCTAAAATATATCTTCTTTCGCTTAGGTATTTCTGAGAGCTACCCAGTACAGAACAGTTTGTCTATCGTAGTGAGTAGCTTCAGTAGAACAAACTAAGCACTATGAAAGTAGCTAACACATTCAGTTTACCCTCAAGGTTTGGACTGCGATGTCCAAACCTTATTAAACCTCAATATATAGTAACATAATTTTTAGTAATATACTTTACATCCAATCTTGTTGGGATCGATTTCCGGATGCGGTCCGTTTATAGGAATCTGTAATGGCGTGATGTCAAAGGCTGTCATATCATCTTCACCGCCTCCTTCATCATCGTAGTTGATAATATTCTCTCTGACGTCATCGTCTGGACCTGGATACTTGATGTGAGCTTCTCTTCTTCGATTGTACACCACGAATACGAGAACAAGAACTAGGAAGAAAACAAAGAAAGATTTAGAGCGAGATCGTCAGGGGATGAATCTATTTTCCACACATTTAAGAAATTTAGTAACTTAGATTTCCTTTTAAAGTGGGATGATGACAACATTTATTACAATTGAGAAATAAAATCGGATATATAAAATCAGTCTAATAAAGTTAACTAGAGTGATAATAATTATTATTAATGCCATTTCTTAACTATATGCAAACAACAGTTAGAAATTTTTTTATATATTCCACCAACATATAAAATGAATATTTTTTATCTGTTTATTTTTACTTTTTCCTGAATTTAGCAGAAATATTGTGATTTACATTAACTGGTCGTCTTATATTGATATAATTATGGTGATGTAGCTTTTGGTTCAAAGTATGTTTATAATTACCTGTCATCACCTAAAATACTTTGATGTAAAATACATGCATAAATATAAAATTTCAGGTAAAATATATTCAAATAGGTATTAGTATTCATGAAAATATTTTATTTTGAATAAGTTGTCGTATGGACTTAACGATGAATGAATAAATCACAAAATATAGCAGTATTAATAAATAAGTTTTAGTTATTTATAGGAAAAATATGAATTTCAAATGATAAATATTTATATTTATGTTACAAGATTCTTTTTTATATTTTTTCTATAAATATGTAAAAATAGATTCATCTGTTCAAATTACAATTATATCACATTGTATAATAATTAATATAAAAGTATTTAATATGGTGCAATACCTACATATAGAATCATGCATTTTTATGCTGGAACTATAAATTTTAGCATGTGATGTATTAAAGTTTTTCAATATTAGGAACAAGAAATAATCGACAACACATTAGAACATCTTGGAGTATTGTAGGTACGTGTAAAAGAAATATTCAAAGTTTGTTGATTTTGAAACTATATTTTACTTTTTTTACTTGTTACTTTTTGAAAACTTAGTTAATAATAACTAAATTATAAACTGACATGAGTTTGTAGTTCAAAAGTGAATAAGTTATGTAACTAAAACAGATAGATAGTCACTTTTATAGTGTGATATTTTTTAAAACCGAAGGAGAAAGGTTTCAAAAGTTTGACTTAAATTTAGTAATATATTATTTAAAGAAAATTTTAGTTAAAATAATATATACAAAATATTTTTAATAAAATTATATTTTCATAATTCAGCTTGTTATGATAAAAATTTTTGTTATAATAAAATTATAACTAAATTAAAAAAAAATAATATATTCCAAATAATTTTTTTTTCAACAAAAAATACATTTTCATAATTCAGCTTGTTATGAAATATTTTTTATTTTGGTAAATATTAATTAAATTTAATCATATTTGACTTAAAAAAAATTATGATTAAATACTGTCCACACCTAAATACATTATGATTATATAATATTTATATTGATATTTACAATACTCCACCAATGTTCTGACAAAATATTGTACTTACCTTTATATTATGATGAATATAAATCTCGTTTAAAACTGTTTATTTTTAGATAGAGCAAAAAATAATCTATACGATGGTATCTAATTTTTATTCATTATTATGTAAATTCACCAAAAAAAATAGATTTTTAAAAATCTAATTGACACTTTATATGACAGCAAGTTAATATTTGTTTACTCTATTAAGTGTCAAATCTGGACACAAAAATTTATAGTAGATAGTGTAAAGTGTATTAACAGTCAAAATATGTTTACAAGTGAGGAAACATGAGATATGTATGATGTTTACTTAAAAATAATAGAAATTCCAATATAGCATGCGCAAGGATTTAAAGAAATTTAGCAGTTGCGGGTAGCTTTAAACAAGAAATCAATATTTTAAAAGGTTTAATAATATTAATGTGCCAGCTCAGACTGAAATAAATCCGGAAACTTCTAGCGGCAAAATAAGTCGCGAGTGTTGTATAAGTGATTCTTATGTAGGGAAAATGATCAAAAACATAAATATGTCACAAATTTAAATTTAAATGTACCAAATTACATTTACATGTTCGTGATCAAGAGAGAAGATTACAATTTTACAAATGGTTTTGCAATGTATTCAAGAGAGCCTTTTCTAGAAAATATTATGGACGGATAAATCTTTATTTACAAATTCCGATATATTTAACAGAAAAAAATTCACATTATTATGCAAAAAAAAAATCCCTATTTAATTAGAGAAACCAGACTACAAATAAGATATTCTTTGAACGTGTTCTTGACAATAAAATTTTAGGTGCTATATTGACCTGTATTGACTCTAATACACAATTTTTGTGCGTCCAGATTTGACATTTAATAGAATAAAAACAACTTGCTGGCATATAAACATTGTGTATGGATTTCCAAGGCACACTTGATCTTGTGAGTGAATTTTAAAACATCTATTTCTTTTTTTGTATAGTTTTATAACAATTTTAATAACTACGAACATTTATTGACAGCGTAAAATAAAAAAGAATTATTGAGTCTTGAGTCTACCCTAGAACGGCCCTAAAAGAATGGAATTTAAGTTGGCCATTTTAGGTCCCCATCGAGTTCAAGCTAACTTTTTTGATATGCTCCTTCCTTAATCGTTTTATGCACATAGTTTGCCAAAAAATCACGTTTACTATCCAATTAATTCGAACAACCGATGCTCTAACGTAACTCAAAAACTCAATACATTCCATTATGCTAGTCACTCGACAAAGCTCTAAATTACCATCACGATAATATCAAACAAAATCATTAATTAACGTTCAACGCTTCGATCGTCCCACATTGACGACCGGAACTATCACCGTCCGGTAACAACGACAGTTTTAAACGAGTTTTCCTCCCATAAAATCCCCCTCTCCTCCCATAAACTCCCCCTCTCCTATTACTTACCCATCAGAGTCAACAGGCAAACTATAACGGCCAATATAAAGTCCCTGGAGAGCATGATGGCCCCGGTGGCGGCCAACTCCAACTCGCAGTGGCCCCCCGTATAGCCCACCGGGCACAGGCACTCGTAGCGCAGCGGGGGGTCGTAATCGATACACTTGCCCCCGTTGATACAGGGCGACCACAGGCACTCGTTCTCGTTGATACAGGTGGTCTCGCGCAGTTTGTAACCTTGCCGGCAACTGTAAGAAGCGGATAGGTTAGTACTTACCGGTGTTCGTTTTGATATTTTGGACCCCTCGGTTTTCTGTTCAAGGATTATTATTATCAGCTGTATTTGTATTCTCAGGAAGGACCGAACTATTGGAAGCAACGTAAAGTTTTGACATTTACATGCAGAACAAAAAAAAAATGTTTTGTGCTATATTTTGTTTCTAAGGTGCTTATACTCGAAGATCTGGTTTTAATGTTGTATCCGCAATATTTAAACTAGAGATACCACAAATATTCGGCTACATTTATTTATATCGGTGTTCATACACAAGGTGTGAAACCAGCTGCTTCAACTCGATTGACTGCTCAATCGTTCTCAATACCGATCGAATAAAACGGCGTCAGCGATGGCTATGAAATGAAGATCGCTGCTATTTTATATATAAAATTATATGAGAAATGTCATCGATCGTCATTTTCATAGCCATCGCTGACGCAGTTTTTTATTCGATCATACGGTACTATCAATACTAGAGATAGCTAAAAATATTTAAATAATCCAATGAAAGTTTAAAATCAGATTTAAAATCTGATTAAGTTATTCTAACACTATACATACCAAACAAGTAGAGGAAAAAAGATAGTTTTTAATAAACAATACAGACAAATAATTACTACTATTGTATTTTAGGTTTTTATTTTTTTATGTTGTTTTTAGTTAATGTCTTAATCTCTCCACTTCAGTTATTTTGTGTTGAGATAATATTTTGAAATACAAATAAATCAGCTTAAAATGAGTATTATATTATTCTATATCCCCTTATTTTGTTCTATATCCCTAAAATCGGCTCAATGCACAGCCAATAGACACATTTGTTCTATATCCAAATCTAAAAATCACTAATATCTTTAAATTAAGCTTTCAAAGTAAAATAGACACATATGTTTGATAGGTTTTTATATTACCTTTAATTTATATGTTTAATAGAACCATTTGGGTATATAGTGTTCACGGATATCCAGTTTAAACTTTTAAACCTTGTTTTCTGCCTCATTGAAATGGTCTATAGAACAATCTTATTCTAGGGTGACGAATGACACAAACATATGTATGTTTTTTTTTTTTAAATGGAAACCAGACTAAGCTTTCATTTTTTAGGCTTTTCAGCCATATAAGCTATAATATGCTTTTTTTTAGTAACCTTATCTTTTTTAAACAATTTCACTTAGATGGCAACAAGTTCAATTGTCGTTGCTCGCAGAGATGCCAAACTGTAGCATCCAAACAAAATATTTTATCGAGACATTAAACAAATTGTAAATGTGTCAAATGAAAAAAGCGTGTGGGATTTTTGGACCATACCTATTCGAGGATTAGAATTTAGAATTTAGAATGAGTGGGAGGGGGGTTAATCAGCGGGATATCAACTGGTGAACATTACTTACGTATTTTAGAGAACGGTTTTCAAGATATGTTAGAAAAGTTAAATTCGCGCATATGTATATTCGTTCGACAATAACTCAGTAATTTTTCGAAAAAACATATTAATGCTTATACCGCTAAAAATGTTCAAAAGTGACGCTTTTTATGAAGCCATGGCCAACTATGCTTTCCATTTAAAAAAAATGTTTGTCATATGTCAAAAATAACATGCTTTAGAAAAACGGAAAATACAATTTCGTTAAGAATGTGATTATGTACAACTTTATCTGAAAAGTTTTTGTCTAAAATCGTTTATACGGAATTAGAGAGCATTTTTAAAATAGCCGAAATTTGTTTTTTTTTAATATCTAGTAAGACACAAACTTTTTCCAAAAATCCGAGGATATTTTTGACCTCACAAAACTGCAATTCTTTCTCCATTTAACTGACTCTTTACTTCCAACTAATTGAAGCCTGGCGCATCCACCACGA